GTTATTTGTGTGTTACTTCACGTTGTATTTGGGAAACAACATAAGCAAATATTGAGGCCTGCAGACAAAATACAGCAATAGTTGCTCAAGCTGAATAATTTTACAAATCAGCTTACAGACATTTTAGAATCTACATGTGCAAGCTTGGTAGACGTATCCCATAAGACTTGTAGCTCTGTGTAGTGCAGGATTTTGTGGTTAAAAACCTTGTATTGATTCGGGAAGGGTTTAAAACAAATGCACGCCACACTTAGTCTGTGAAAACTTTTAAAAACCGTCTGCAACGCTTGTGAAGTCTTGCGTTGGTTTTAACATGTATAAGTTCAATAAAATGTATAGAAAATGTGGTAAATCAGGGGTTTCAACGGGATTCGTTTTGTTTGTTTCATTTGTTTTAGTTTTCTCCTATGTTTTCCATGGGATGACAATAATAGGTTAGCTATCTATAAATCGTCGTCGCGGCTATTATTTTCCTTTCCTCTTCAAAATAAAAACAACTATTGTTGATAAATTTCAAGTATTTCTGAAATGATGAATAAAAATCCAGAGTAAACGAGCGTTTATTTCTATCTGATAGTTTATAACACAGGAAGGATGCAGCTACCTCCCATGTAGCTTCCCAAAGCTAGCTGTCATCTCGTATCTGACTGCAAATATAAACAGCGAAATGCTTTCCTCACGTCCTTACTGCACTGTTAGCCTCGCAGATAAAATGTTAATTAACCTTACCTTATGACAGAGATAAGAAGACCAGAGGGGTCTTTGTTTTTGTTTACAGCACTCCTGTATTTGCCTGTTTCAGTTGCCATTTTTTCCAGCTGCAGCACTCAAACAGGAAGAAGGGAGCGTGTGGTTGCGCAAGGTGTTCTGGGAGTTGTATTTTTAAAGCGTAAACGAGCAGTTAGAACGCCTGTGACTGAAGTAGAATCAGTGAAAGGATCCACATGGAGTTACCTTCTCATACCCAGCACCATAATCTTTTTAAGGAAGTTCCAAAATTAATTACTTCCTGTTGTGCTACGGTTTTATTTGTATTTTATTAGAGTTTGTCTTGAGGGCAGCGGGAAGAGCCAAAGTAATCACAAGAATACAGACATGTTATGGGTTGTAGTTGTTGATGCTACTGATTTTTCTTAAGCTCATTAACAAGTGAATTGTTTTCCCATAATTTGGAATATTTTTTCCCCTCCATTTTTCAGCCATAAATAGGTTACACGATTGGATGACTAGATGCAAAAAATAAATTTTATTTTGTTTTATTTCATTTTTGATTCACCTAAAATATTTTACGTAAATCTGTGTCTGATTCCTTAACTCAACTTCTGCTATTTTCTCAACTCTCGATGTTGTAGTTGAGAATTGCAAATACAGAATACATTGTTTTTATGTTGGAAAAAACCCTGAATGTTTGACAGTGGTGTACAGACCTTATTGTTAAGTCCATGGAGATTGTTTTTATTTCAGCTTTTAATTTTTGTAAAAAATGTTTGTTATTTTATATTTGTCACAAGGTCTGATGCTATTTAAAACATCAGCCCTGAGTGTCCAGGTCTGAATAGACCTATGGCCTCCAACAGTGGTAAATATCACAAATATTAGACTTCTTACACCTGCAAGCATGAATGAGCTGAAAATATAAAAAATAGTTCTTTCTTGCTTATTTTCTCAAATTAAAAAGAAAAAAAAAACATAATAAATTGTACAAAATTTGAAGCAGTGAACTATTCTTTAGTGCTATCATAGATACATTCTCGTATCAAAACACAGAGGATAAATCTTAAATTGTTAGATTTTCACTCTGGTCCTCCTGAGATTGACAAGGAAGTGCAAAGAAGAAAGGAGACAGGCAGTGAAGGTCAGTGAGTTAATAGCCAACACCATTTAGAACATATAGAGCTGGGTTTTTCAGGCCTCCTGTGCCCTGTATCTCTCACCATATCTGCTGTACCAATGAAAATGGAAGAGAGCATTGATTCTGGAGCAAAGGAGGTCGATCTCCCGCAGCCTGAGCCCTGATTGATGTGCCGGTGGAATGATGAGATAACATTGCGGGTGATCTTTGTTTCTCAACCACCTCCCCAAAAAACAATTGCTGTGTCATGCAGGATCTATTGTTTGTCTTCAAAAAAACAAAACACGTCCCATTACCAAGTCCAAGTTGGGTTTCAAAGCTCCTATCACCTCACTTTATGCTGACAAATCATCCCCCATCAGTCTAAATATTCCACTGGGCTACTTTCTCCAAGGTCAGCTGCTGTAAAACAGCAACTTCTTGCTCTGAAAAAGTCATATGTTGAAAGATGAACAAGGTTGTAAAAAGTTGCTTGAAGGCCTTTGAATTTATGATGCTATTATTCAGTGAAAATAAAGCAGGATGTTTTTTCTCTTCTAATTCATGTTCTCAAATTTTCTGTTTTGTGTGTTGAATAATTGAGAAAGTTGAGATGTGCAGAATAATCAAGACAAGCTTTTGGTGTCTTCAAAGCAGATTTCAAATCTGATTTCCAAATTGATTTTTTTTTTTTTGCCTGTTGGAGAAACAACACTGAAAGCTCATCGTAAATCAGTTGCAGGATGGGGCATTACTATGATCAAAAATAAGATAGACAATGATACCAATTAAATTAACCTCAACGTAAAATGTAAGGCAAATCTTAGACATGTACAGCATAGAGAAAAAACTGCTTCTTTCTGATGAACATTACAACTGACTCCACTGAAGAGATGGAAATGAATAAAATAAAGTAACATTATCAGCAAGCATGACAGTCAGATAAATCCTTCTTGCTCCGATAAGCCTGATGTAGAGAGAAAAAGTATTTTTCAAACTCCAACATTCAGTCTCATTGCTGTGTAAAAAAAAAAAAAGAAGGAAAAACCTGAAGTGTTTCAAAGCGAGCCTCAGGGCACAGCATTAGCAAGAGCATAGTGGGTCTTCTTTGGGGAATGACATCACAGTGTAAAATCCGTTTGAACTTCCTTTACTACAAAACCAATATCATTCAAAGTTGCTTATATGTACAAAAAAGAACCCCATGATGAATGGCTTTGCATGATAAACAAATGCCTTTGGTCAGTGTTTATTGTCTGCAAGATTTATTAGACCACTGCCTGTACAATACACATGTGTATAACATTTTTAAATGGGTTTACACTTTTTCATATTGTTTAACATGATCTACCCACATGCCTGGTTCAAAAAGCCTCCACAAAAATGCAAGAATAGGTATGAAAGAGTTTTATTAAACATGCGCTGGGATATGTGTACAATATATCAGGTTTATTCGTATGAGCTGTCATGTTCCCCCTCGAAGGGACGCATCAAACCTCCACCTGCAGTTTTCTGCTCTGTGAGACTGCATGACAGTCTGTCAGTGTGGTTTTACACAAATATATTAAAAAACCGAACGAATGAAACGACTCTCATCTAAATCATGAATAATGCTTTTTTAATGTGGATGATTGATTAATTTTGATTAATTTTAGGAGTTTCATCACCTGTGAAGTATTCCCATGCATGCCTTTTTAATGACTTTATTAAAAATATGTTACATTTTTCTTGTTTTGACTCTCTAATGAACACTAAATGTTCAAAATTCAATACACTCAATATAAACTAGTCTTATTTTATGTTTATTTCCTGCTTTTACTTATCTGTTCTCATGTTTTATTGTGCAAATCATAATTGCAGAACAGATTTTTGTATATTTTCAGGTTCTTTGATATTTTTTTGTTCATTGTTCTAAAATTTTTATGGTTGATGACAATACAAAAACAGAATAAATTGAAAAGGGGGAAATATTCACAGCAGTGTGAAGCAGGTGTGTGGCATCAATAAAACAACTAAAATACTGTTTTCAAACATCAGTTAACAAGGACCAGTGTCCTGCATGTTTTGATGTTTCCTTCAAAACATCAAATCAAATAGACAAAAATCAAAGTTCATTTCATCTTCAAAAAAGTCTAGATTAAAATTTCAGAGCCAAAAACCATATACAGCTTTTCTTATGGAAAATAACAATCAAAAGAAAAAAGAGTGTTTGGCTTCAGTCCGTGAGATGTTTGCATTTGAATTTTCCTTCCTCCTCTGATGTTACAGTTTAAATAATTAATTATTAGTAGTGGAAAAAAGTCAGACTAGAATATCCGAGTCTTATTCAAAGGTATGATAATAAAAAAGAACACCATTGAACTGGGTTTGAAATAGGAACTGACCTTTTCAAAATGCTGGCCTCAATATGTCAGAGTTTATTAAATACTTGATGAAAAGACATGCTCTGGTTGTTTTGTCTGTGATTTATTTTCCCCATATTCAAAACTGCTTATTTAACAATTCTCCTTCTGGGTATTTTTAGTGCACAACTTTTTGGATGATGTAGAAACACTGCCTAATAACACTTTGAGTTCCTAATGAGTGTAGGTAAAATACCAATTAGCTTTAACAACTTACAATAATGTGCATATATAATTATTATTTAGGAATATTCATTTTATTTGCACTTATTGCACAGATGTAGCCCATCAAATGCAATGAAATACATAATTTAGTTACAAAACATTTATTAGAGGGAAGAAACACAATGCTCCTGAAAACCAAATAGATTTTTCCTTCAATTTTATAGTTCTGTCTCACTTTGTGTTGTTGTTGTGAGACAAAATTTGGCTTTAAATGAGTATGTATCATGTATACCTACATTATTTGTGCAAGACACTAATTCTAGCATTGTGTAAAAATATGTTTTACACCTTAAAAGTAAAAATGCAATTAAATGTGAAAGTTTTGACTATTTTTAAAAATGATTGGATGACATCATAAACACTACCAGTCGTCCAGGATCAGTATGTATGGAAATAAAACACCTAACTGAGTATCTTCATGTGAAACTGCCTGTCACATTATCACTCTGCCCACTTCAAAGCAACAACCAATGAGCATCCTCGATACACTGACGGTTACTTACTCGACCAATAACGTTGCAGGTTGTTGAAAAAACGTCATGCTAAGGAAGTGCGCACTTTTCTGAAGCCGTGTAGTTTGGGCCACATTTGTACCTGGGTGTAGGTAACTGGGACAAAACCAGAAGTTTACATTGTGTGTTATATGCAGTGCAGATAAGCGACTTTTCTGACACCCTGCGGTCTGACAATGGGAGCAAACAACAGTACCCGCCGTGTGTCATTCGAGTCAGACGAGAACGACAATATAACAGTGGTGAAGGGCATACGGGTAAGTAACAGGGTAGACCTGTTGGAAGAAACAGATGTTATTTTAAATCACAGGTAAATGTGCTGTCAGAAATCAGGCTATAGGCTTACGGTGTTAATAAATATAAAACAAGCTAAACAAGAGTGAAAGCATTGCACTCACTCTTCCAGTGCTGGAAGTTCTTCTGAAAGTAGAGATTTTTTATTTTCAAACGGTGTGAACTTCAAAACACTACAAGCCCCAATGTGTTCAAGAATTGTGGGGTTTACAAATAAATCTCGGTAAAAATAAAAGCTTGGCCTCATTCTCATTCTTGTTTTGTTATTCCTTTAATTGTCCTATTGTCCAGAGGACAATATGCATAATGTGTTTTATTAGCAGCCCCTGCCATTAGGCTGCCATTACAAATTCACCTGTGCCACTCTCTTAGTTGATGTTAAATATAGCCTGAGAGGCTTTCGCTGATCACATAACACTTCTGTGAGCTTGACTCTATTATTACTCAGTTGTTAGGGCAACATGGAAAGCTTTTGTTTATTCCTGTTTGCTGTCACCCCATAAGATTCGTCTGCTGTAAGTTGAATGATTTACATTTTCCCTTCCAATTAGATCGCGGGTTTTGAGTGAACCCATGTGCACTGCATGTTTTTGATGTTTGAACATAGATTTCCTATAAAAAGTGGAAAAGCATGGAATTTGATTTTGGTGCTTTTCAAGTCTGGTAAATTATGAAAATGACTTTATTCCATGATTCGTTTAACAGGACACTGGTGTAAAAATAGAGGGAAGAAGCATTTTTTTTTTTTTTTGCTGGGATGTAAGAATGGTTAAACGTACTCAATAAGAATATTCACCAATATTCCAAAATTTTGGCATCTCTTTGTGTAGAGGATTAAAAGCATTTGCAGCTTTAGAGAATATAAATAATGATCTGTTGGGGGCTAAAATCAGCTAAGAATGCTTGTGATTTCCGTACTTTCTTGTGGCGCTACATTAAGAAGTGATCTAATCTTGTCAAGATAATTGTGGCTTCAACTTTGGAACACTTTTTTCTGAAACCAAAATGCTTTTTTGCAAAGAATTGGAAGTGATTTTGCTTTCAGATTAGCAGCAGTAGTTCCTCTCATCAGTTACCATTCACTTTTCTTGAATGGAGACATGATGTGCCTTTTTAAATGTATGCCTCTCTTAAAAATGTTCAAGAGATGACCCAAAGGGCTGGTGTGTGCAGGCAGAAACAGTGCAACATTCACTTTGGATTCCTACAGGCAAATCTTTTGCTTCGCTTGTAAAATGTTTAGATAACAACCAGATGAGACAGTTTTGTGATTGCAGCTTTTTTTCTTGAACACTGACATTGACGGTTCATGTTTACAGTTAAAATATCCTGAAACGTGCTTGTTTGGTATTGACGTTTATGTTGTTTTCCACTCACTTCTTAGTACTTTACTTTTGCAAAAACAAAATTGTTGGTAAATATTAATGCAGCAAGAAAAAGATTGTTGTAACTGTGTATTTCAATATTAATGTCCTGCAATCTTAGGTTCTGAAAGACACTTTGCAGTGAATTTTCAAAGTGTTTGTGTTTCCCAATCACATCAAACAATCTCTCATGACTGTATTATTGGAATCAAAAAATATTTGAATCACTTGTAAGTAGTTTGGTAATTTACTTTTCATATCTTTTTATAAAATGCAATCAAAATGCAGGGCTATGGATTATGAAACAACATTCCAAGCTTCGAAAATTTTACAGAGCACTGTTCAATCCATAATCTGATAATGACAAAGGTGAGGCACAAGCTCTTGCTGGATGTGTCCCGTATGCTACCGGGAGGACACATGTAGATGAAGGCTTTCTTTCTTCAGCAGGGACAAAAGTAAGCTGATCAGGCTTGATTATAAGAATAAATGGAGGTAAAAACAGGAGAAATCAAGGCAGAAAACATTAGACGTACAACCAGAACTGTATTGAAATGCAATAGGGGACTCTATATTCCATAGTTAGAATGGCCTAAAGTGCAAGCTTAAATCCAAGTGTCAGTCTGTAGTAGGACTTGAAAACTAATCTTTACCGATGGTCTTCATCCAATCTCACTGAGAAGTTTGGGTACTTGCTTTTTTTTTTTCTCTGAATGTGATACCTGTTCAAAAAACTTGCAGGTGTAATTGTAGTTATAGATGGTTCTACGAAGCATTGACTCAAGTCTGTCTCAATCAGTTCCAATCAAAGGCATGAAGGTTCAATTGGAATGAATATTTAAGCAAGATAGTGCATGAGCTGGGATTGTTCTATGCAATATCAAAGTTTGGTTTTGTGGGAAATGGTGTCATGTACTTAAATCCTTGTTTGGTTATATTCTAAGAGATTTCTTTCTCATTTACAGCTTTCTGAAAATGTGATCAAGCGCATGAAAGAACCCACCTCTCCTCCAAAACAGCAGCAACGTACTCCCACTTCAGCACCTCCAAAGGCAACGAATCTCATTCCATCTCCTCTACTCCGACCTGTTCCTCCTCTCGCTGACCTTGCCACCTCCTTACCTCCTCCACCTCCTTTCGTAGAACCTGTAGCACCTCCAGTTCCATCTGCTACAGAGTCTGTGGCCACGCCTCCTCCTAAGCCTCCCACACAACAGGTAGCAGAGAACACCAAAGCTGACTTGGTGCTTTCTCATTCATCTCCCTCAGTTTCTGCTAACGCTGTTGGTGCTTCTGTTCTTGAGCCTTTAACAACCCTTCCTGCACCCACTCCTGCTCACACAGAACAGTTCACTCCTGCTTCCTGCCATGCTTCAGATTTGGTGGAAACTGTAACTCCTCTTGCACCTCCTCCCTTAACTCAATCCATTGCTTCTCCTCCCTCAGTAATCAAACCCATTGCTCCTTCTAATGCTGTTGAGCCTCTTCCTTCACACGTCCCTAAGTCGGAATCTCCCTCTTCCCCTCCTATTTTCAAACCTATCACCATCCTGCCAGCATACTTGCTTCCTTCAGGGGACTCTTTGCCTCTGCAGTCTGCTGAATCTTTACCTTCAGCTCCCCTGCCTGAGTTTACTGCTTCTTGTGAACCAGTTGCACCTCCTCCCCAGCTCACAGCGGAACCATTATCACCTGCTCCAGCCCCTGAGTCAGTGGCAGTGCCTCAGTCAAGTCCAGTTTCGCCACCTGCTGTGCCACCAGCAGGTGAGTTTAATTTCTTGTAGCAAAAATAATATGTTACAGAAGCATACATCTTTAGAAATGTGTTCTAGTAATATGAAGCTGACGGAGACTAAAGGTGTGTTGAAAATTATTAGGGAAAATGTGGGAGTGTTTTCTTCTGATTTTTGACACATCAGCAACTGTAGTTGGGGCCTGCTATAGCAATCCATAGGAGATTGGAAGTCACCTCAAAATAACTGCTGGTTGCTTTCAATGTTAATGCGGCTCGTACTTCTATGTGCCCCCTCACAATACCTGTTTCAAAATGTATGGCTTGATCCCGTGAGGGAATAGTATTAGCATATATTCTGGTAACGAAGTGCCATGGAGTAAACATCAGATTTTTACTTTTGGAAAATCTACAAATTGTAACTTACTTTGGCATTGATGCTAATTTTTAGCATCAGAACGCTTTGTTCCAACTGATGAGCACACTTTGGCATGCCCCATTTAAATTTCTACAGAAATTTTCAAGTTTATTTTACTTTATCTAAAACGTATACTTCAGAAGCAGCTTCATTAAATTTAGTCCTACATAGACTAAAAACTTGTCTATTATGTCTAAGTAATGTTTTTTGCTGGTTATGATTTTGTCTTGAAATGTCTTGGACATGGTTTCTGTAACATGTTTAATTAGAAGGCAAAGGTTATGGAGTACTGAACATGCCATAGATTTGTTTTGCATTTCATTTTGATTGTGCCTATTGTGTGGGTGGTAACTATAAGCCACCTTAAGCTGTTTGCCTCCAACTTTTCACAGCAATTATAATTAGTCTTAATTTAAAAAAATTGGCCTTGCAGTAGCTACTGTCATAAAGTGATTTATTGCCATCCACCAACTGTTAATGACATGATTAATTCTTTTTTTTAATGAAAAAGGTTACAGAAATGTAACATAATGATTGGGCCAACAGCATCTTTCGAACTCTTTATCTACTTATTTATGTATTTCTCTTAGTTTTCTGGATCCTAGCTTTGCTTTTAAGGATTTGTTTTTCTGTCAGCTGCTGTAGCTGGGAAAAACAAACTGCTTTCCATATCAAGCAACATGACAAAAAAAAAAAAAAGTTTCCATTCACAAACATCTTGGGCATTGATCTGACATAGAAAGCAACTCGTACTTGAGACTCCAACATCAGTTGCACTTAAGTTGCAAAAATAAAACACATTAGACTCGCTTAATTGTGTACCCTGTAGGCTTGAGACTTGATTTCAACTACTGGTCTGAGACTTGAGACTTAATAGTTTGTATCTGATGTAATGAAGAGTGAAATGAATTTGGTATGTGAGCTACAGACTGTGAAAGGCTAAGCCTTTTTAATGTCATGTATTGCATCACTTCTGTTTTTGTCTGTTGAGTACAAAGGTTTTGTATTTCTTCTTTTACATGAAATTTATTTATTTATTTGTCAGGTTTTCCACATATTTGTCAGGTTTTTCACATAGTTTGCACAGCAACAGGCTGTTCAAACTAACACGACATTAACCCATGTAATCCCAATTTCTTTCCTGAAAAATAAGTGCATGCATTTTAATCCTTGGATCTACCTAACACACGATATTTGTGAATTATTACATTTTATGTTGGTTATGTTAGTGAAAATGTAGGTTTTATACCCGGCAACGATGGGAAACTGCATAATCTAAATTACACAAATCTGGTCTACTTATGCAAATAAAAACATTTTAAAAATCATGACATGCATAATCTATTATAACAAAGAATGGTTACAAGAGTGTTCAGAAATATTTTAGATACATAAAGATTCAATGCTACACCCTGCAGATGTGCTGAGTGACCCTTGACCTCATTTGGTTGTTTTATCAATGAGGCAAAGTCAGGTGAAAATGTTAGTATGAACAAATCTGCATCTGGGAGGACACTCTCCCTGTTTTACTCGACCAAACACTGCACCTTAGCCCTGTGTTAAAGTAGTTTCAGACATGACATCAACTTGTGGTCATTCAGTGCACATACCACACTTTGTGTAAAGGATCACCTTTTGGGGGGGTGAAACAAGGGAGGGTTTCAAATGTGGGAATGACGGTGATGTAGATGACATGATTTTGATTTTTCTTCAGGTCTAGAAGATCCAAAATATCTGGTGGTTTTAAGCTGTATGGAAACAGCAAGTGCTTACAGTCACGCCTCTTATGGTCAAAAGATGAATGAAGGGATACAATTTTCTTTATATATCAGTAGAACACACTTGAAAGAACATATGTTGAAAATATTTTATTTATATTTGTTTATTTAGATATTTTACTGACTTCCTCTTGTACACGTTTGTAACTGACATTTACCTCCAGCGTCGCAGGCAGGAAGTAAAGAGGTCTGGTCACGTGACCTTTCACACTAGATACATGAAATTGACATTGCTTAGAGTAGACACATTATTGTTTTATTTGAAATCTTCAATTAGCTGCCAAAAGTTTTTAAAAAATTGTTCTAGTGCTTCTAAGAAGTTTTTTAAAAATGTCTGCCAACAATTGTTGCCGGTGGGATTAAATGGGGTAACTTAGCATATGACTTATTCATGATCCACATATATTGTGTGTTGACATTCACAGTATTAGCCTTGGGAGGTCACTTCAAAGAGTTAGAAAGGTACTGTGTTCAAACTATTGTAAAAGTGGTCAAAAAAGTCAACTTATACAATTGATCATGCTTGGGCACGCTCTTTTTAAGGAATAAAAAAAAAGGAAGGTGTGATGAATGTGAATGTGAATCTCGTTAAAAATGTTACAAAGTTCAGCCCAATTCTCAAAGGGTGCGACCTTAATGAGGCAGACATTGATTATGTGTGTCCACGAGAGTTGGGTATCGAGTGAGGCTCTCAGCAGGTCGGCTGTCTCTAAATCATGCCCTGAGTAAGTATGTGTGCTGATTACACCATAGTCAAGGTTGAACCTCCTACACCTTCTCCAATATGCTATAAATATTCATATGCCAGGGCCCACACACAGTCCTGGGCTAATAGTCTGGTTAAAAATGTCTCCTGGGGGTAGAAAAGAGAATGGAAAGATGAGAAAGGCAAAGAAAAATTGCGGTGGAAGAGCAAATGCATAAAGCGGACACTGATGAACTACATCTTTGTCTCTTTCAAAGCGTCCTTATTATTGCAAGAAAATAACTAAAAGTTTTTTTTTTTCAGTCTGTAATTTGAGATTACATTACCAAAGAAATCTGATGAGAAAGAAAATTATATGATTGCAGTTGTACTATCATAAGTTAGAAAACTGCTGGCATTTTTTCCTGTCCTTTTTATTCTTTTTTGGGCATTGTGGAAGGTGTGTAGTGACTCGACCAAAGCGCAAGGTAGAAACGTGAGGAAGTGGTAATGTTACAGATTATGCCCTCCGTGTGGGTCCCGGGGTTAATGAAACTTCTGATGAGAAATGCAATTTGCCTTTGTCTATTATCTCTACTGCCAATAGCCTGAGCTCTGCTGCTTCGCCACCTCCTCTGTGGGTTCTTCCATGGGGCCTACTGATTGGTGGAAAGGAAAAAGAAGGAGACGAATTTAAAAAGATGATGAGCTTTTAATCTTTTTAACATTTACATGTCCTACTCAAGATTGACAAGGTCTCTGTCAATCTGGAATTGTCTCTGACCCAAACAGCCTCCCTCAAGGACCCCAGACAGTGTTTATCATATTAGGACCTGTTCTGTGGCTGACCCTGTGGACTCGCCAGCAATCTGAAGCCTCTCTTTGGATTGCTGGAGAGAATATGTAGAATTGTCTAAGCTTTCCTGAATTTTGAATGCCTTGGAAATACACTTGAGGCAGTGCTCTGTGAATGTGTTTTTAATTGTTGATTAAAAAAAGTTAAAATTTCTCAAATATAGTAAAGTTTTGGCCATAACACAAATGTCAACAGAGCATGATGACATTAACATTTTTTGATTGCAACTGATTTCATGATGATTTAATATTCACCTAAAATGACTCTATTACCAGTGATCATGGCAGCTCCTCAGGAACAGTTTCAGATTCCTGTGCTGTGAGATGAATAGTACTTGGAATTGCAGCCAGAAATGATGGATATTATTTTCAGGTCCTCTGGACAGTAGACTGTCGTTGAGGATTCTCTCTGCGGTGAGAATCAGCTTCCTGCCTCCACTCTTGTTTGTTGTGCTTCCCAAACATAAAAGATCAAGTTAAAAAAAAGCCTTTTCTTGTCTGTATTTGAACTTGTATGGGCATTCAGGATTACGTGTTTCTGGCTTAGAGCATTATGCATCATAATTGTTAAAATGAGCCATTTTTAATGTTTTATCCTGCTTTCTGTGCATATTACACAGAAGGCACCCTGTGTAATATGTGTTTAAGAGAATCAGTAATTTGTCAGTAAGGGAATTGATATAAAAAAATTTATATCAGTCCTGATATTAACATTTCAAGAGAATATAAGAATCACTTGTTTTATATTGTCATTCCTATAGTTTTTCCAGATATGGAAATATCATGACCAGTAAATTGACAAACTGTATTCATCAGTACCTTCTTCAATTTACTGACTAAATATTGTATTTAGATCCATGCTTTGGAATCTGGCTGTTGTCTCAAACAAATTTGTTTTGCATATCTATGACCTTGTTGTTTTTACTTTCTGTTAATCTTATTCTAGTAATAATGATGTTTTTCCCAGCTGCTGTTACTACATGTTACCAGGTAATAATGGACTCTGACAATAGGGATTATCCCATCTAACTAATGCAGTAGGAGACTAATCTTGACAGGCTCAGACACTTGCCCCTTCATCACCGCAGTGTTGCAGCACACCGTATGCCACTTCTGCCTTCAGAGCACGTTTTGGCCCAGTCGCCGACCGGCATCTTTACTTTCATGCTTAATTACCTGCCAAGATAGACTGGTGAGGACGTGGAGTCATATACGTCTGTCGTCAATGACACAAATATGTGTTGACAGGGTGGTATTGAACTATGTTCTTTTAGGAAAAAGATGTCTATGTGCCTCTTTTTTTGGCGACTCTATAAAGAAGTATTGGAAATTCAGTGACAGGTTGAGCAGCAGTTTTCACCTCAATGTTACCGTTGTTTTTGTTTTGTTGTTTTTTCACTTGATGGAGGATTGATCTGTGTATCAGGGAAAATTCCTAAATGGGAAGATTTGAATATGTGAATATGAGTATGTATAGAAAATATAGAAAGTTAATCTTGTTTTTAACTCTATGACATTAAGAGTAATATAAAATCTATAGTGACTCTATGACACTCCCAAGTAGATTATAGACGCAGAAATCCATCATAGAAGACAAGTGTATATATTTCGAGGATGTGATTCATGAAGGATGTGTGATGAGTATAACTGCTGGTGTTAAGGACTATAATGTTTGAATGTTTGTGATAAATCTGTTGTACTAAATCTGCAACAGGGAAAATGAATATCCTGTATGCACCTCATGCTTGGATCATTTTCAGAGTTCTATCTTTTTCATATTGACAATATTTAGATTTGTTTTTCCAAAGATTAACATCTATCCCTTGTTGGTCGACTAGAACAGAATAGCTTTGCATGGTGGTCCAGTCCATTATGCATGCTTTGAATTCTGTTCAAAGCATGCATAATGCACATCAGTAGATTTGCTGATGTGCTTTAAATCGTGGACCTTTTACATGAGGCAGCTGAGTTGAGATTTGCTATCGATTGGAGGCAGCTGCCAAGTTCCTGTTCCCACAAAAGTATGAAAAACCAGCCTGTGTCGCTGCGCTTGACAGATGATATGAGTTGTTTGTGCTGATATGATGTTTGTTTTTTACCAAAAGGAACCTAAGGCCATTATTGTTTCTTTGCTCTTTGATTTCTTTTGTGCAAAAGAAGTATTAGAGTGTTTACAGTATAATGTGAAATTAGAAACCTAAAACATGCTGATTTAGACCTCATAAGAAGCTTAACTGGGCTAACTTTCTTTTTCTCACCTGACTGTTGTGGAGGATGTAGTCTTTAAATTATCTGTTGTTTTTCCAGTGTCCTCATGACAGTTACAAGGTTTAGCTTTGTTCCTGGATAGATTTATACATATCTTAATTATGCTTTGGCTGCAAAATAGCACTGTTAGAAATGTCCCAAATGTATTAGTTTTGGAATTCTATTTCTATTCTTTGAAACTATGAATTCAATATGGTGAGCAAGAAAATTTGTTCACTCTTGCCATAGAGAAATTACAAATTTAAGGACTTGGATGTTTTATTTTGTTAGTTGGTTGGTAGATTATTTTTCCCTAACTATGTGGGAAAACTAATATTTTTTTCCTAACTGTTGCCTCTGTATAAAACATGGCTGTGTTTGTTAAGAATTTCTTTAATTTTCTAATTTTCACTCTATTTCTTCTTTTTCTTTGTCTCTAGTGAATGAAGAGGCCCTGAGGAAGAAGATCACTGATGAGCTGTATAAAGACTTGGCGCAAAAGAGGGCCGAAGCAGAGCAAGACATGCAAGCATGGTTAGATTCCTGCACACTTACAGATTTTTTTTCAAATTAGAGATTTTTTTTTTGTTACTTTATTTCTAGATGTAATTTTTGCTTTGTAAATTGAAAACCTTTGGTTTTCTCATATGACAGGATATCATAAGATTTGTGTTTGGCTAGTCTTTTATTTTATTGTAGGATAACTATCTGGTATTATTACTAGTGAAACTAAATTGTAAGGCCTGTGTCTAACCCCTTAACTATTTTTTTCTGTTTCCATGCCAGTTCTTTGCTTCATAATCAAGAAATGTTTTCTTCTTTTTAAAACTTGACCATTTTCCAGTTTCATTAATATTCCAAAAGGTCAGCACCAGACTTTCCGATCCCCACTGTTTCCAATTTACGTCTCTTCCGAAGTACATCAGCACTTTTCCCTCCTACCCTATCTTCTGTTCTTCTTTACTCTTGTTCCTTTGCAATCAATTAATCATGTCTTAGTAAGGGGAGCACAATGCTGAGATAATTTCCTGGGTGTAGAGGGGGTGATCCATTAGCACAGCCTGATAAAGAAACCTCTTCATGTCCATTCTTTTCTTTTTGTCTTCAGTGAATAATCCTCTGCTTTTTGCTTATGTGTTTATATCTTTTGGCCTGTGTATCCCATATTATCATATCACTGTATTGCTTTGTCTCTTTTGTTATGTTTTTATGATAAACAGGGATGCAAAATAGTAAAACATACAACCACTGAAGTTGTGGTTATATATATATATATATATATATATATATATATATATATATATATATATATATATATATATATATATCATTCCTGCTGTAACTAGTGTCATTCACAGACATGAGTGTATTTTTTTCTTAGAAATAAGAAAAAAGCTACACTATGATTTACCAAAATCATAGTGTAGCTTCAGCCAGTTTTTTTTTTTTTCAAATCTATATTACGATACAAAATAGAAAGCAACATGGAAATATAGTAGGTAAATGCAATTTATTTATTTATTTATCCGTCCATCTGACCGACCGACCGACTGACCTATCCTTGCATCTACTTGGTTTTGAACTGCACTGATTTAACAACCATGTCTTCATTTCTGCATTTGATATTTCTGTTGTTTTGGTCTTTCTGGGCATAAGAGAGAGACATCTTCTCCAGGACATTTTCCTTTAGTTCATGACTACACTGAAGATGTAGAATTTGTCCTTAATGTCCTAACACAGGACCATTACAGATAATGGAAGGACGTACCAGGAAGACAAACAAGTTTCCTCTTTTAGTGAGGATACAGGTCTATTACTCAAAACTCTTAAATAAATTCCTATTCTATTTTCAATAATTACTTAACTTTATTCTTGGAGATTAAATGTACAAATGTTTGTACAAATGGAGGTAAAATAAAACTAAACTTTTTTCCTCATTGATGCCCTGAGCCTATAATTTAACTGCAGTATAATGGTCCCGGTAGAGATAGCAGAGAAGACGCTGAGATGAGATATTTTTTCAGCTAGATTGGAGTAAGGGGTAAAACACTTTCCTTCTGTGAGTTATAGTGTAATACAGCTCATTTAACAGAACCACTAGGTGCCAGAGCAGTGAAACTGTGAGACGACTGCACAGTGTAAGCACAGAAAAATGAAATATTACATGGAAACCTTAGTGGATATACAGTGCCTTGGAAATTCTTCGTACCACTTGAAGGTTTCCAATTAGACTTCTGAAGCACCCAGAGTCTTCAGTATTTTCTTATTAATATTTTATGTAATAAAAATAAGGGCTAAACAAAAATTAGCTTACAATTATTGAGTAGACGGACAGGTGTACATGCTTTACCAAATTCTTTAAAAAAAAATACAGTGTGCATTTGTCATCTCTTAGTTTTCACTGCGATGTTAATGGTAACTCTTTTGGGATATACTTCTACAAGTTTAAAACATTTTCTAATTTTGAAATGATCTTACCTTTTTCATGTCACAATTATGTGCTACTTTTTCTATTGTAATGTGGGAGTTTTGAATTCCTTCACTCAGTCTTTCGCAGTAGTGCAGTGTCAAAAAAAGTTCTTGCGAATTTGAGGATTTGTGGTGTTTAGATTAGGCACCATTCCATCTGTTTGGCTGTAAGACCATAAATGAACTCCAGAGATCTGGCTTTGCATATTTTGCTCTGGTAGAGAGGAAGTAGGAACTCTGAGCTCCGGGTTTATTTAGGTGCAGCCTAAACTAATTTGTAGAAAGGAGTGGGTGCAGAGAGTAGATTTGCTTCTGCCGCTTCTCTGTGAGGCATCCGAGCAGAACACCACAGAAAAGGATGATAGGGAAGGTGGGATGAGAGTAAAAAAAAAAAAAAATCTCATACTCAACCGTTTCTTCTTCCTCAACCCAGTGCATCCTTTATCACTGTTTGTGCTGTTTGACTTTCTCAGACACTTTCGACCTCGTAGCTCTTGTCTCTTCTTTCTATTCCTCCATTTTTTGCTGTTATTCAAAACATTTCCGAATTTCCTTCATGTTGGTAATATTCCACCCTTTTATTAAACTCACTTCCTCTGTGAATATGGGTTGAGTTTGATTGTCCAGCTCAAACACTAAAAGGGTAGTTGTATTTGTCCAAATTCAGTCCATTTCTTGAACATTTATTCAAGCAGCTTGTGTGATATAATTGCATGCCTGATTTAAGAGTAAGAACACTGACCTTCCCTGAGAGTTTTTGACTCATTTCACATTTAACCAGCCACCCTATTAAATTCTTTGTTAGTTCTAGATTAGCCTGAGCAAGCTTCGACTTCAAATTTCTTCTTTTTGTGTCTAACAATTTCTGAGTAGGATCTTCTACTCAGAAATCCTCCATTAGGTTATGAAGAAACAATGTTGCTTAATCTGATTGGCTATTGCCCTGTCAGGAAAACTCTAGATCTCTTTACATCAATAACGCTGCACCAGTTGAATTTATTACTTAGTTTTTTGACACTTTAAACTAAACTACCATTGAGCTATCTTGGGCATATTCTCAAGCACAATTTTTTTGGGAATTGTGCTGCAAGACTGGTGGTTTGAAAGACAAATTGGCAGTGTGTTTAGTGTTAACAAAGCATATTTCACCCCTATACAAGATTCTCTTATTGTTTGGGGACTAGGGTCTGTGACTTTACTGAAGATGGACCTTATTTTCTTGAGTTATTCAGTTTAGCTGTATGTTCTGAACCTTATTTAATCATTCAATGTAAGACTACCTCACCCATCTTAGATGCATCTAGATCCAGAACATTCACATTTTTTGATATTTCACTATAGTCCATGTTTTTTATATGACACTCTGGTAATTTCTCACCATTTTTCTTAAATCAGTGAGTCAATATTAAATGTAATCCCATTTTTTTCCCCTTAATTTTCCAGATTTTACATTTTTTGGTTTACATACATTTTGCATTTTAGACCTGCTTGACTGATTGTACTGAAAGGACTTTACTTCAACCAGAGAATGTTGCCTTATTTTAATTGAAGGAATAATAATTTACTTCATTAAGGGATTCTAAGTGCAGTGTACATTAAAAACTTGGAAGCAAAACAATGAGATTTCTTGTTCAGCGGAAAGCAGTTGACTTAGGTTGTTCCCATTCTATCATCCAGAATATAACTTTGCACTGTTGTATAATCAGATGCAGTGCATGCATGTGTTCATGTGTGTGTCAGGGAGAAAGGATGAGTCATTAAATATTCATAGACAGCATTCTACGACATTATTTGTAACATCAATATTGCAGTGGGTGCTTAAATGCTTTGTTTCCAGGGACCTGGGTTGAGCCTGGACTGGTATGCTGGTCTGGCTGAAAACACTGTACATTACTTTTCAGTAAAAGGTGGATAAAAGCAAGGAGAAATGGGGGAAGGTAAAAACTGATTGATTAGAGGGAGTTGGTCACAGCTGAAGATTTCTGTTTTAGAATTTTTGTAAAGGGATTGAGCTTTAAAGTTGTGGCATTTCATATTCTAATATGTGACCTTAGCTAATATATGTGCTAATATCAGACTATTTAGTAAGCTGTACTTCATATTTACTCTAAAATGATACAGATGTTAATTTCTTTCGGTCATATATGTTGTGACCTATTTTTCGAGGAAACTTTTCTCTTTTGATCAGGTGTCAAAGTTTGTGGATTTTCATTTCAGACACCTCCAGAAAGTAGTGTACAGCTACTCTGGTATATCAGACACAGCTCACCCCAATTTTCTCTTCTTCAAATTAATGAAATCTCACCGATTCTGTTTTCCAACTGGCTGTTTGATGACTCCGTCCGGTTAACAATCAAAACAACAGTTAATTAGCCAAGATTATCCACTAAGTCTTCTCACTGCCAGGCTAATACAGAAAAAAAAAAATCATCCACTTATCCTCTAAAGATATGATACTCTTTCATTCTGTCTCTTTGCTACAGTGTTTGCTTTCTCCGTCTGACTCAACCATTGTCTACGTCAACGCCCCCCTTTCTTTCCCAGTGCCAATCTTCTGCAGTCAGATGAAAAATGTGCCCAATATCCCAGAGACAGGGCAATAATGACTGGAAAGCAATAGAGGTGAAGCAGACAGATAGCATCTCGCTAGTGATAGCAGTCTTTGCTTGGGTTAGCACTTGTGAGGCAGTCAATAGACTCTTTTTCTTTTCCTCCCACACTTTCCTTTTCTCCTGGAAATCTTCAATTTCCAGATCAGATTATAATTTTGGATCACATGTGACTTTTTAGTTAGTCTTGTGGGCCTCAAATAAACAAATAAATAAACACATTTTGTCAAGTTCATGTTAATTTTGTTTCCCTTTGGGCCTCGCAAATAAATAAATTTTAAAAAATCACAGACATGAAAATATAAAATCCTTGATGTTTCTTAGTCATGCTGCACCTTTTGACAATAAGTTATTTTTTTGGTTGTTAATATTCTGAGGGACTAAACAAAACAAAAAAGAGAATGAAATTGGGTGATTTTTTTTTAATTGATTTTTTTAGCCAGTGCAGACTTTGTACGTACAGTTAAAATTATTCAAACATCTAGCAGATTTAAGCTTACATTCATCTTTGAAGTTGATGAGCATGTTTCCTCCGAATATTAAACAGTTTAAAGTTGTTCTTTTTCTGAAATAAAAAAACATCAACACAATCAAATTCAGTTTTGCAGAAACAAAAATATATTTTTGTGCTTTTCTGTTGTGAAAGTACAATTTAATGTTGTGAATTTAATGCAATTTAAACAATAGTTAATAGAACCACATTACAGTGTATTACAGTGTGGTCTTTTCTTAATAAATGCTTTCTTCAAACACTTGCACATCAAGCAATTAAAACATTTATTTTAGCTGCAACATATCTAGTACATTATGGAAACTCAATTGTGATGAAACATTTTTCATCTGAGGTACTTTCTTCCTATATGTTCAGCTAAAAGCATATTGGTTAAAAAAGGCATGTCAAAAGGTTGAGTTAGCTACATTTGCTGGCCCACACAAGTACCATCAAAAATACTTTTCCAAGAAAAATCTTGTTTACTGTTCTCTTTCAGCCCTAGTTGTAGCAGCAGTCTTAGCGTCTTGAGTAGAGGTAGCTTAGATGCATTAGCGGCACACATGCGGGGAGGCGTGGATTGTGGGGGAAATGGTGAATGTAAAAGGCCATTAGGAGGCTCCCCATGTGTCTGTGTGTGCGTGAGTCAGAGCCTGATGATGGATGGAGTGTGCTGACGTTTGCAGCCCAGTGGACTGTGAGACTGGACATGGCTGGTCTCTCTCTGTCTCCCTCTCTCTCCCACTCTGTCTCCCTCCTCCGTTGCTTCACTTCCTCAGGGCCAAACATGTCATGTTGCCACTGCTCACACTTTCTCTGTACTTTCACCCATTTTCTTTCCGTCCCCTCCACCCCCTTTTAAATCCTCCGATATTTAGTTGCGATGCAGGGCCATTTTAAGACTTCAGGCATATGTGAATTTCTCCTACCTGTCATCTTTTCAAAGCTACAGGTATGTAGGTGATCTGCTTTTAGCAGTCTGTCCATCACCATTCATCACTGTCTGCATGTTGTCTACATTCACACCTGACTGAGGAAGTAAATGAGATTTTTTCTAATAAAAGATGAAAACCTATCACTTTGACAGATTAGTGTGTGCTTGTAATGAGAAAAATAGCAGCGCTAAAAGGTAGAAAACTTGTGTAACATTCATGCCTGGAACCATACATTAGCGGATATGCAAATTCCCATAATGAGGAGTCTAAAAACCTGAGAAAGCTCCAAATGAATTATAACTTATGTGTTTAATTCCCTATGGGGGTTTAAAAGGATAACTATTTTAAAAGTAGTGTCATTGTTTTACAATTTCTCCATCTTTTCTAGAGGAAATTAGTTTTCAATTGGGTCTCTGTTTTGGAACTATGCCATACAGTCAATATTTTCAGCTGCCCTGTGGAGTGGTCATCAGATGTATCTGTTGTGCATCTTTCTGCATCCTTCTTAGGCTGATGTTTATGAAGATCTCCCTGGCCTTCATTGAATTTGCCATAATTCACTCCACTCCTCGCTCCGCCAGTTCTGTGTTTATTCTACCTCGGCTTGACTGTTTGATATCAGACACAAGATCACTTTTAGGGGTTTCAGGGATGTTCTTCCTTATTCAATCAAGCACACTGTCACCCAGTTGGATCTGTGTTGCTAGGCAACGAAGAGAACCCAGTGACCGGGTTCAAATACTGGTCCTGCGTCTGCAGAGATTTTGCTCCATCTGTTGAGAAAAAGCCTCTCAGAATTGATTACTGCTATCGATAATCAAATAGATCTTCTTTGTAATCACTTAAATTTGTTATAAACCCTCTCACACAGGTTACCTGATTCTCACGAATTTAGGTTTGCCTTTTGAACTTCTTCAGTGTTCATCTGTTACTCCTCAGTGCTGTCGTTCATTGCAACTTTTTTTTAAATTACAAGGACATGTCAAGAAAAGCAAAATGCAGGTGGCTCCAATTACCTGCATGGCGACAGATTGACTGCTTGGGATGCAGACTGCTTTTACAAACATTCGCTGAAAAATGGGTCAGTCTTCGAAGATCAGTGAATTTCAGGTCGCTGCCGTGATGGAGCCCTGCTGTGCTGCATAGCACGCCAAGAAGGGACTCTAAAACAATGCAGATGGGTTGCCTGGAGTGATCAGCTCTGTGTAGTAGATCTTAGTATTGTGTTTGACATCAATGCCAAGATTTGCAGCAGTCCAGTTTGGGAAATTTTGTCTAATTTGGGCTGTTGCCAGCATGTTGTTCTAATGTGATGGGAGTAACAAGTGATCACCACTTTCAGTAAAGCTTTGGAGTCAGTTGGTGCTTCCTTTAAGCATCTCTGGCTCTTAAAAAACAACATTGTTTTCAAAAATAACCAATAGCACGTGTTAACTGCACAAATTCTAGGTACCAAACTATCACCATCCTTGGTTATCCTGTGCACTAAATCCTCTTCCTGAATTATTTAAAGCTCGAACAGAAAATGTTAGGGAATACACAGGCATCATTTAAACGCCTCTTTTTACCATGTTATTCTACCTAAGTTTTATTCTAACAATATTTATATTCTCTTTATTGATCCTACCCAGGTACGATGCAGAGAAGGCCCGGGCATCAGCGCAGGCTCAAGCTGATGCTCAGTCCAAAGTCCAGGATGAAATATCCAGGATCCTGTCTGTGGAGCGAGCCTTCACCCAAGAGAGCCTCCAGCAAGCGATCATTAGGGAGAGGATCAGCAGTGAAGATGAGAAGCTTCGTGCTCAGCTACTCGTAAGTGTTCTTTCTAATATGTTGCACAGCAGCTAAAGTGAATGTCACTTTTAAGATGCTGCATTGGTATTTTTTTTACCTACTTAAGTGTATAGATTGTTTTTGAGTAGTAGAGATTGTCTCCTTGATGTAAGTGAGTTTGCACAATTTCGATTTCCGTTCCCTACACATGCTTTGTGAAGAAATTTTTATAGACATTATTTCTGCCACATTCTACTCTGTAAGTGTATTCTTATTTTGCTTGAGAGGAATGATTGTGATCATTTTAAAGAGAATGTCATGCAAAGTTGACTTTTTCTGAGCTTTATGTTATAAAAAGTCACTATTAACCTGAAAAATACATACATACACTTTGTCTTGGGCAAAGTGCTTACGATTATTCTTTCAATAATCAGCCGTTCTTCCACAAGTTTCTTATAACAGTATAGCCCATCAAGTGGCAGCATCATGCTGTGTCAGCAGCAGAAAGTGCTATGACTCAGAATCAAGGTAAAAAATAATGCATCTGTGTAAATAAATGTCCTGGATGAAAACCTGCTCCAGAGGGCTCTTGACCTCAAACTGGGACCAAAGTTTCTCGTTCATTAGGATAAGCTTATGCAGTGTTTTAAGCTTTGAAGTGTTTGGTGCTTGCAGCACTGCTTGACTGGCACTGTGGCAAATCTTGAGTTTGTTGTGGTGCTGGAATATGTGCACAGTTTATTGTGAACATCATACAGTAATTGAACCTATTTGTTGTAGCTTAATATTGTCTTGGGCAAATCTTACTTTGTTCATCCCTCGATTGTTATAAAGAATGTTTTCATTTGGTGTCTCTTTTTTTCTCCGTAAATTGCCTTCACAAACAATTTCAGATGAGCATTCTTACGCAGTGTATTGTTTACTAAAGAAAACACATTTTCCCTGGAGTGTGGCCACTGTTTACAGTCCTATGCTATTGATTATATAGCTCATTTCACACACTTATCGCAGTAATAGAAAAATGTATCATTTTGTTGTGACGGAGTAAGAATGAAGCATGAACGTGATTCCCACCATTGGACAAGTATGTGATGAATCCCTCATATGGAACCGAACTCAAAATGAAAACGAAGGCGACGAGAGAGAAATGTTGAGGGAGGTGAAACCATGGTTTGATATTCGTTTCCTGTAAGTGTCCATGAAGAAACTTTCTTAAGATATTTGGTTTGTGTAATTTAATTGCACCTAAGATGGAGGCCATAATTAGGAAGGGTAAGAAAATATTTACTTTCCATGTGTTAAATATAAAGCTACAGTTAGTACATTTAAAAAGCGTTGCTTTCGGCTTTCCAGAGTTCTTAATCTCACAATTTAATTATGTTTTTATCAAAGGCATATTCACCTAAAGTAGATTTCCTCTATAAGGCAATCTACTTTATTTATCAAACAGTACAGTATGCTCAATTAATTATTCAAAGTGGATAAAAAAAATTTCTAAGTAAACCCAGGAGAAGGCATCGAGTCATTGACTTGCAGCATTCACTCCTCCTGGATGAGCATGTCTGACTATACATGTATGTTGAGTATGCATGTAGCGACAGTCGAGAGGAAAAACTACCCTTTAACAGGAAGAAACCTCCAACAGAACCTCCCTCTGTACAATAGCCCATCGGACAAGGACGACTGAGGGTTTGAGAAGACAAACGTGAATCTTCACTTCAGTCTTCACCAACTCCTGCCATTTGCAGGAGTTGGGTTTAGACGGTGATTTGAAATGATCAAATGCTAAAATAACAAATCCTTCAGGATCACAGGGGTACACAAACCCTCCACCACATTAAAGTGCCAGTTCAAAGGAGGGTACCATAATTGTTTGTGTTCATCCAAATATATATGGCTACCCCTGTGTACACTGTGATGGTATTTAATGTTACTCAAAGAGGCTACTTTTAGGTCATTAGCAGACTTTCAAACGACACACAGTTTTACAGAATAAACTTTGCCTTCAACCAGTTTACTTATATAAGTCTTTAATTATTTTGTGAGTTTCTGCCAAATACAATAGTTAATTTCCCTTCCAGTTTTTTCTCTGCCTCCTCACAAAAGAAATAATGTAGATGAAGAATTATTGTCAGACATTTTTTTTGCTATTTTAAGACGCAGCACACGCACTGTGAGTCTGTGTGATAATTTCTTCCATATGAGTGTCCTTTGGAGTGCTGAAGTTTTAATAGAATCCGACGGGTTATCAGTGGAGGTGCAGTGCGGTTTGCAGCACTCATGTAATTGTCAAGCCAGACGCTTCCACACAGTCAATGTTCTTTTCAACTGGAAATTGACTTTTTCTGCGTTCTTTAAAGACAGCCTCTCACCCAAGACGTCTCCCTCCCTTTGTCATTTCTCTCTGTGTTCGTCAAACTCCAGGATTGCCTGCTAACCAGAGCGAACTCATTTTTGATGAAACATAAAACATGTTTGTCTTTTGTGTCTGTGTGTATATGTGCTATATTACATTATTCCTGCCTCTATTGTGTGTTAGTGTGCGACTTAATTTTTCAGTTTAGTTCTTTTTATTAAAAAGGAACAGCAAGACTAACTTCTACGATACTCAACTTTAAACATGTGAATTTTGACTTTATTTTGAACCACACCTCTTATCAAATACAAAACCTCTTTCATAAAAATACATAAAAATGAAATACACATTATTGTGCCGCATGTAAGCATTTGTGCCTCCCTAAAAATGAGAACTAGTTCTATTTTACAAACACAATAAATTAAAATATTGAAATGTCAAAGAATGTTTATGGTTTGTTTTATTAAACATAAGATTTTTTTGCTGATGGAGATGGAAAGGAAGATTTTCCATAGTTTTTTGTTTTGTTTTACAATGCAAACCAGCTCTAAGACCAGGTATCATCTTTAAGCTTTCACTCAGTAACCCTAAAACAAACGGCATAAGAACTTTGTTTGGAAGAGTTGAGGTGAGATGTTGAACTTAAAAATACTTTAAGTTTAAGCAGCAACATGCTGGATTTAACTCGATTAGTTTGAAGTATAACTTATGAAGATTTTTGCTTGTATGATCATCCCATCCCAAAAAAACAATAATTCAAACAAATCAATAAGTAATAATGACATTCAGGCCAGAGAATTTATGTAAACTCCACCAGAATTGAACGTTATTACTGGAAAAGCAAATCTGTGTACACAGACAGAGCTGTCTTATTGCAACGCTGTTGTGTTCCTCTTTCAGCATGTATCGATTTGTCCCGCTCGTTAAGACACAGGTCACGGTGAGTGGTAGGACCCCATACGTTCCCTGCTTCTTTTCTCACAATGAGAGCGAGGCTCTGAGCAGTTTTGCCTCCACACGCTCACCTATAATGGCCTTAACCGCTGCTTGCACAGCCACACCAATTACAGTGACATCCATCCGAGAGCTTTGACTTGAGACTTTGGCGTAGACCATGGATGGTTAACATTTGTTTTATTGATTTGTTGTGTTTTGTTTTTTTGTTTTGTTTTTTTACATTAAAATTAAAATGTTACAAATCCAGCCACCAAACTCTCTGTTTTTTTAGATGCTGAGTTAAAATAAAGTCTCTTTTGGTTTAGGGAGAATTATTGAGAGAACAAAAATAAGACAAAATACCTGTGTTTTAATTTCCTTAGAAAACTTCATTTTTAGCTTTTAGCTGTCTGGATTGCAGTTGGACCAGTTCACACTTCCATTTCTTTGGGTTTGTATGGTGATGGAGGTCTTGAGCAATATGGAAGGATAAATTGATAAATTCTGCACTAGTGCATTTAGTCCTCTTGACTGTCAAACTTGCTCTTTCAAGTAAATAGTATGGAGACAACATAAGAGAAATGTAAAAAACAACTCATATTTGGTACCCTGGATGTTTATATATTCCTTGCAAACCAAAACCTTCCATTAAATGAGGTACATTTTCTTTTAAAAAAAATTGCAAATTGCCCTTTTTTCATTTATGGTGCTACATTTTCTGTCAGCTGCTTGAGCTCTGCTGGGGGGGTTTCCACAAGGAAAATTTATCATAATATTAGTAACACTAATTGTATATAGATTGTATACATGTTTAACGATTACGTCCCATTTGTAGTCAGGGTGCTACATGATTTTTGCCACCCCAGTAGGAATTCTTTCCACTCAGTCATTCCCTTCCTTGTCAGGTTGACTGGCAGCCACCAGCAAACAAGTCTACCGGTAATTGAAACTTCACACCATCGTAGGCAGGGCTGTTTGTTGTCGTCATTGGTAATGTTGGGTTTCTGGGGTTCTGTTGTCTGCAGGGAAAACGTTCAACATCAGTGGTCACACATGTAATGCCACTCAGGGAAGGCCACAGCAAAGAAAATTAGAACAAAGGCATACAACAAACATGGGGTTTGTTAGAAGTTTACCATGTAAAAAAGAACAAAATGCATTTATGAAAAAAAATTGCTTTAAAAATTGTAGTCCTTTTAAAATATTTTGATAAAAATGTTTATGGGTACAGTTTTTGGTCTCCATCTATAAAAGTGCAAAGTCTGACAAATACTGTAAATGGGAATGGAAGTGAGTGCTAGGGGAGACAGTTTACAAAGGAATACTAAATTACAAATATTCACAACATTTCATTGCATTGTTATACAGGATTGTCATCTTTCCGTATTTTTAAGATATTAGACTACTCGGGAAAATGCCCATAACTCATTAAGCCAGTTCTTCTTTTTTGGTTGTACATGGCAGATTTAAAGTTAATTATAAAGGCAACACTTCTTTTCCTTGAGTACAAAGCAAATAACATGAATATTAACATGTCTTTCATAGTAGTGATCTAGTAAATAATATGTTAACATTTACTGTAATATGTATGAACTCTCAAGAGCCATACAAGTCCCATATTCATTCCACATACACCTGTCAGTCCACACATCTTTATTTTAATGAAATCATAGACCTCTGCCATTCTCTTTTTATTTTCAACAATTCCTCTCCCTATGGAGCCACACTGGTCCATTGTTTAATCAAT